GCAAGAAAACAACCAAGCACAGAGAACCCCAAGGACTCCACAGCCCAACCCTGAGTTACACATATTCTCTTCTATTGATGATGACAGTTCTGGCAGTCCCAGTTGCCATTGCTAAGCAAGGACCACATGGAACCGCGACTTTTGACTTCCTGCCAACTTTCCATTGGCTTTGTTTGTGGGAAGCTGGAAAGGAATGTTGGAAATCATGATCATATGACCATGGGGATGCTGCGATGGCTGGAACTCAAAGGACCGGTTGAACGTCCCCCTTGTTCAGTGCCATCATAACTTTGAATGGTTGCTGAATGAATGGATGTAACCCAAGGACTACCTGTATTTGTCCAATTATTTCTGTAGGTTACATGATGACATTTGAATCTTGAAGCTCAAGATCAACATATGTGCATATAGATTGTTCAAAAACCAGTCCAAATCAACAAGATTTACAGTTTTAGATATATCCTGAAACTGAACTTTAATAAAGCAGAAGAGCATGTTGAGCATATAGCATCAAATGCCAACAAACCCTAGTACTAGTAGTGGTCTTCACATTTACAACTCACAACTTAGTAGCATTAGCAGTTGATCAGCTGGTTGCAGCCATTGTGGTTCTCTCTCTAGAAGCACTGTGGAATTGGCAGTGATTCTTTAAGCCCTGAGCCATGTGCTTAGGGAACTGCTGCTTTGCCTCAGCATTCCACCTCTAATTTAAGCCATAGCAACAGGGACATAACCAGTTGGGTATTAGTCAAGCTGGAAAGTTTTTGATTTTTTAATCTACAACATAAAAATCTAATTACACTTCTTAGAATATTTGAAAACCATATTGTTCAAAATGGCTAAGTTTTGCTCCAGGTATCTTCTGAATCTGAAACTAAATTGGAAATTCAGATGCTTTGCTTTAAACTTGAACACATCAGAATTTATTATCAGACCTACTACAGTTTAGTTAAGACTTTTCATATCAGAAAAAAATGAATAAAAAGTATAATATTGATGGATGTACAGAGAAAGTAGTTTTGTTCAGATGCTTATCTAAACAGAGTACAGCAACTGGATGAAAGTTAATGGTGATAATGTGCTAAAGCCCTAATCTTCACCATGCTCAGTATTGATGTCTATAGGAAGCTTCTAAGTGCATTCAAGTAAATTTATGGAAAAGTACCTTTTGAACTTCTTTGTTCAGTGTGGCAAAGTTAAGAGCTGAGAGGATATACACAGAGACATGGGATGCAGAAATGGCACACATGCTCTGGGGGCAATGCCTGCATGCATACTGCATACCTCATGCATATGCTCTACTCTGTTCAGGCAGAGACAGTAAACAAGACTTTGCAAAGTTGAATCTAAGATAACCCACAGTTTCCTTCTTCTAGTCTTGTGAGGAAGGCTAAACAAAATTAGCAAGTTGTCACTTTCTGAGGGGCAAACTATATCACATGTATGCTG